CCAACACCCTTACAATAAAGAATCTTTTCCTTAGGTTTGTCTGGAACTTCCAGTGTTCCAGTTTGTGCCCACTGCCCCTTGTCCTGTCACCGGGGTCTACTGAAAAGAGCCCGGCCCCATCCATTTGGCCCCCACATTTCAGATATTTACAGACATTGATAAGATCCCCTCTCAGTCTTCTCCAGGCTGAAGAGTCCCAGCTCTCTCAGCCTCTCCTCATATAGGAGATGATCCAGGCCCCTCATCATCTTTGTGGCCTCCTCTGGACTTACTCTAGAAGATCCCTGTCCCTCTTGAACTGAGGAGCCCAGAACTGGACGCAGTACTCCAGATGTGGCCTCACCAGGGCAGAGCAGAGGGGGAGGAGAATCTCCCTCGACCTGCTGGCCACGCTCTTTTTAATGCACCCCAGGATACTGATGGCCTTCCTGGCCACAAGGACACACTGGTGGCTCATGGCCAGACTGCTGTCCGCCAGCACACCCTGGTCTTTTTCCTCAGAGCTCCTCTCCAGCAGGTCGGCCCCTAATCTGTACAATGAAAGGAGACACACCAGCTAAATCCAGGGTTAAGGGGTTTCTACAAAATTTGGAAGACCAAGGCTATATCCCCAACCCAGTTACAGGTTGTTTGTGACCTTGATTAAATCAGTCCAGTCCAGACCACAAAACAGACTCCTTCTCTGCCTGAGGACACATCAGCCTTGCTTCTCTCTAGGCTTAATCTCTCCCTGGTTGACAATGCACAATGGAAACACAGATATTCATAGTAGCTCTAGATCTACCTAGAGACTCTGCACTCACAAAAGGTTGCATGTGATTAACAAGTCCTGCAGGAACATGGTGCTGCATGATTAAATACACTGAGTCAAGTGCCTGCTCAAGGATGAGTACAGACAAGTATGTAACTTCCCTTAAAGCTGTAATGCAAAATAAAACAGTTTCTACAGAACAGACTAAAAGAGGTAAACTTCCTATCAGCTAATCAAAGCAGCTCCCCACTTAAATGGAGATCCACATGCCCCCAAGGCAAGTACCAAATCTCCCTATATTGAGTAGGGAAGGGTTCTCGGCCACTCAGCACTGTGGATCCTGCTACCTGACCAAACTCCTAAACCCTTTTGTGCATCATGACCACAGCATTCCCATATTTCTCCTTACTACAGGTATGCTGGGAGATTCCCTATCTGAGGCACAGAGTTACTGTGGTAGCAGGAACTATATAAATACCTCATAGAGGATTTGGGTAGATCAGCTCCTAATTTGGGACCATTGTCTCCAAGGAGGTTTTGGTATTTTTAAATGATCAACTAAAGTAGGTGGCTGAATACCAATATAGGATTGATGACAACAGCCACACACAAACTGACACTTTCATTTCTCCTCTATCATGGCAAATTAACTACCCAAGCAGTAATCAAGCCTATATTTCTACATACATAAAACTCCCACTGACATAAATCTGAGTTTAGGGTGAGCTAGGCATATATAAAAGTCATTTCTACTAATTGGCACATTTTGAGCTGTCAACACTGATTTGGGTATAACAGTAACTAGTGTGAAGAGACAGCCATAATCATTCCATATTAATTCAACTCAAAGATGAAGATCAGGGGACAAAAAGCAAAGCAAAACTAAAAATCAGTACTTGTCGGATGGAAAAGGACAAAACCAGTTGGAAAATAATTTTATTTGTCAGACTTCTAAGAAAATTTACAAACAATGGTAGTGTAAAAAAAAAAAAAGACACCCTATAAAAAGGTTGACATCATTTCTCAAACTATAGGATCAAATGAAGTTACAGATCAACAAGCGTACAGTGAAATTCTATTTGTCAAATTAGTATTAGCTATATAGCTGAAAATGTAATAAGTCTAATAATAAATCTCTACATCTTACTCAGAAATCCCATAACAGTCCAACATTCTGAGCTTAAAAATAAACTTACAATACACAAAGAATTCATCTCTGCAATCACCTATAGCACTAAAATCACCTAGGCAAAAATTACATAGCAAAGGCACACCTTGTGAAGTTTCTAAAGAAGGACATCTTGAGCACACTACAAAAACGAAGAACAGAAAGTAAAACACCCTGCATGCTTGCTGATTAATCCCCGACATCTAACAGTAAATACAATATAGAAATAATAGAAGCAATATTTAGTGACTTTCTTCATGCTGGTTCTATTCTTCATCCAGAGTAAAACAAAGTTTTTCTTGCCCTATTTTCTGTTTGAACCTTGGCACTTTCCCAGGGTATGTTCTCCCTATGTTCATCATCATCCTTGTCATTAGTGGAGCAGGTGGTTCTTAACCAAGTCAATCCCAATCACGAACACCACCATGCCTTCCACATATGCACATCTTCATCCTGTGACCTGTCTCCAACCCTTCTCATGCTGAACTCTAACACACACAGGCAACATGCCCAAATCTAACCTCAATTTGCCAAACTTCACATACAGGGCACAAAGTAAGCAAATGTTTAAATCCTTTATTACTGTTGGAAACTTTGCTCTATTTGGGTCACTCACTTTAAATAACAGGCATTTAGAAACCATTAACACAATTTAATTAACAGCTTAACTTGAAATTGCAAAGGAACTCCAAACACTGGTACACTAAAGCCTTTTGAACATGAATTTGAATTAACGTGAAAATCTGGTGTCTTCATTAATCCATAAATCAACTCCTCCTGGTCCTAACTGCATCTTAAACATATTCTGTTCAGAGCACAAGGAATAAGAATTATTTTTTAGTTACAGTGTATTAATTTGTGCTTTCAGTGTATTCATCATGAGAAAAGCCAAAATACGGTCTCCATTAAATACTGCTGAAATAACTCATCTTCATGGCTCAGGACAATGTACCAAAAGGTTATTTTTTTCTTTCAAAAGTAAAAAAAAAAACAAAACTCATTAATTATTACATTTAATGAGACTTCTTTACCAAATGCTTACAAATAAGTAGCAAATAAAAGATGTGCTTATCTCATGCTATAACAGGAGTTAGTAAGAGTGATGCACCAGTGTTTCTCTCACTAAATTTGTTTAAATATTGTCAGTTCCTGAAATTCTTGCCAACTGATATTATTAGGACAACTATAAACACCATGAAACCTTAAAGTACTTTGCAATAAAAGATGTGGGTGTGTATGTTGTTGGGGTCAACAGGTAGTTAGAGGAGTGACATAATTTAGCCTTCAATGGCTTTAAAGATATACAATGGAATACTCACTTTCAGCTTTCTGCCTGCCACAGATGTCCTGGGTAAACTTTGATAAATTTATGTCTAAACTGACAATTCAGATCATCCCAGAAAGATTTAGACCTTTGAGGTAACTGTATCTTAACTAACTCTTTCCTTGCTGCCCATAACAAAGTCATCTTGGAGGTTTCTGACCCCAGAGCAAAGTCCTTCTAGGAAAAAGTCTTGTTCATTCTTCCCAACTTCTCTCTAACTGCAGGCAGCAGACTCAGGAAGCAGATACGCTGCTTTGCACCCAGCTGCCTGCACTGCAGAAAGAACAGAATTGGGAGGCTGAATCTCAGGCCTTTGCATCCAGCCAAGCTTTCAGAACTAGGTTAGAGAGCTAGCGTGGGCCTTCGGTGTCAAAGGCTGGCAAGGATGGTCTTAGAAGAACCATGACTGTAATGATCAGTGTAGACACAACCAGTGCCTCCCTACCTCCCAGATGCTGCAAGTACATGACAAAGGCCCAAGGTGCTGTTACAGGGACTATACAAGCGACTCAGGCAGACAGCATTTTCTTGTTTTTAGACATGTGAAGGAAGTAAATTATGCAAATACATTAAATACTTCATAAGAAGAAAATAATCCCTCAAATTTATAATATTCTATTTTTTCTTTCATGACTTACTATAAATTTAAGCCCTTTTCATAGCAGTGATTTATATAATCCCACATGCTCAATTAAAATGTACACACTTCAGTGGCAATACTTAATTCCTCAAACAAAAATCTCTCTTGCTGAATCCCTACTTCACACATTACTTAATTTGAGCACTCCTCCTCACTTTCCCAGACTTTCAACAGCTCACTGACAAAAACAGCTTTACCTTCTAGTTTAGCAAACACATTCACCAAAAAGGTCTTCTCCAGAATAGGTAAAAATGGAAATATTTTCTCCATGCAACGCACAATTAATGTATAAGGCTTACTGCCATAAAAAGCCAAGAATTTAGCATTGTTCAAAAAGAACTCAGGGGAGTATCAGTCATAGTTACAGATGCTGGCAAATGTGTTTAGAAAGGTATATGAATCTCCATGCTTCAGGTTTTAAGTCTTTATGTGAGTGATGATCAAAAATATATTTTCCTGCAAATACACTGTCCTGGTAGTACACCACTAGTAAGTTTTTGTACACCTCCTCTAAAATATCTGTCACTGGCCAGTTTTAAATATAATCCTAGATAGTTGATCTGCTATGGATTGCCATGCTAACTTGACTATCTTCTCTTTTGCCAGTGAGAAGCTTCATTAATCTGGTTTCTTATGCAAGACATGCTCAAACTACAATGATAAAGAAAATACAAACATCAATAAAATAAAAAAATATGTATGGTGGTCACCTGAAGAGCAGCACATAGTATTCGGCCTCACTTCTCTCTTCTTTTGAAATGCCAGCAGTAAAACAGATCTGTGTCCTTCACGCTAAAGTATACGACAAATTCAGCCCTTTCATGTGCCTGTAAAACTTCTGGGTCTATAAGGCCCTCACATACACCCAAAACCAAAACTGGCCAATTTTAAAGTACTGATCGATACCCTCTATTGTTCAATGTTTTCTTGATCAGGTACAGATTTTGCAGGAACTGTGCTAAGCCTCTCAACTTGAGCATAAACAACATAAAAGTTGTTACCAATTCAAATGATAAAGGAAAAAATAGTAGTTATGACTTGCAACTTAAGTAATTTTAAATTAATCATGCTATATTAAGTAACGCTCGTTAGCATCTGCTCAGAATTAGGTATTTACCTTTAGTCCACCACAGATTGGACAAGCTGAAAAAAGAGCTCTTGTCATCCCAAGGTGGGGGCTACATGTGTCACAGGGGCCAGCTGAGGCCCCACTAGGTGGTGACAACTCACTACTTTTGGAGTCTGACACCTGTCCTTGTGGTTTTGTGTCTGACCACCTCGCAACAACATCCACATATGTCTCATCACTTGAGTCCTTGCTGCTTTCTGCGAGTAAGGATGAAGGTCTCCCTCTGTCCTGGCTGTGCTCGGGTACCCTGCGTGCTTCCAAGTGTGGCAGTAGCAGTTTTGGGTCACTAGCACCTTGAGGTGACAGGGCCTGGTCCTTGGGTAGCATGGAATCTGCACTCTTCGGTTGCACATCTTTAGAAGCTGCCTGTAAAAAACTCCTGGGTTTATCATAAATATGTCTGAGAGAGCTGGGAACCTGATACTCTGGTCCCGCACCTCTCTGAGGCTCGCTGTGAGGACAAGTACATAAATTCTGATCCGAAGGAAAGTTCAATGGCAAGCTTAGCAGTGATCCAAACTCATCACCGTGGCAAATGTCCAAGCTCCCAGCATAGGAAGAAAAGCTTCCAGAGTAAGAAGAGTGACTACCAGTAGCTATTCCACTGTCAGAAGAACTCTGACGACCTATTTCCTGTAGCTGTCTGGACCGGAGGGGCTTTGGAGGTGGTTTTGTGGTGCCACGTGCCCCTTCTGGAAGGGTCTTTTCTTCCCCAAGATGAATGCCCTTGGCAGATGCCAGTCCATGACTCTCTTGAGAAGTGCTGGCTGAAGATTGTTCAGGCCAAATTGTTAATCTGCTCCCAACACTAACATCCGAGTGGCTGGTATCTGAAGATGAGCTTGAAAGACTTCTGTCATCTCCTGGAAAAGAAAACACATTAATCTATGTTTAAAACACAATCAACAGACTGAAGCGTGGCAAGTACGTACAGACAGAGAGGACCCTGAGATTCTCTCTGTTTTTTTGTAAGGGGAACTTCTGTCTGAAAGCCAGAATTCCTGCAACAATTCCTATACCCACAAGAAAAATAAAATGCAAATAGTATGTTACCTTGCCATAGCTCCACCACGTTATGGAACGTAATGCATCCAGGGCTAAATTTTTAGAGTTTGTGTACCAAATTCTCCCCTTTTCAAGCATATTTTACTTCTGTACAGTTAGTTGGTTTTATCTTAGATATTCCTATCTTATATCACTGGGAATAGTCAAAGTCCCATGCTCAGAATAGCTGAGGAAGTTCTGAAGAAAAGCTTGTCGCTGTAATCCAAAGCCATGCGAGACATTTCCATGTTTCTATTTGATCTGAATCAACCAAATTATTATCTTATTTGTACATTTTTCTCTATTTAAATCTTATTTGAATAACATCAAAGTGAATGTTAAAGAGACCACAAAAATAAAATCAAAAACTTGACTGTCCTGTTCTCTCCTCTGTGCTATCCAAACTGTAGTTCTCCATAATATCCATACCAAAATACAACCATACATCACTGTAACAAACAAAAACGTAGAACATAAGTATTACAGAAATGTTTACATATCCATATACAAAAAGATCTTTCATGATTCATTTATGCACATAATGCAAGATTTTTTTTTTCCACTCATACTTGCAAGAAGGACAATTTTACAGGTAACTACTGCTGTGCAAGAGAGGATGGAAGAAAATAATTAAATATTGGCATGAAAGGACATAAGGACAAAACAGAAACATCACAAACCTACACAAACAAAAAAAAAAACAAACACTTTCTTGTAGCAGTACACACAGTCCACAATGTTATTTCCTTCCTTCGTAGTAAAACCAATGTGAAAACAAAGGCTAACAGCAGGATCATTTTTTAGGTAATAATTTTAATTACTTTTATTAATTTTAAACCTTGAGCAGTAAACTGCCAGATGGGGTAGAAAGAGGAAGGGTACATTGCAAATTGTGACCTGAGCTTCTGCTGTTACTAGACTATTTTTATTCTCAGGTGTTGAGGGAAAAGTTTAGAACTATTTTCTTACTCTTCATGGAGCAATTTTTGATATACACTATCACGAAACAGCAATGTTTATCCTGTGAAATCTAATCCTTTCTTTTCCCCCAATGTCCATTGCATGACATTGGCTTGTGATCCCTGCTAAAGTGTAACTCCTGAGATTAAATTATACAGCTGTCTAGGTGGAAGGCATGAATTACAAAAATGTTACTGCAGTTTTTAGCAACATGCCCAGAAGAAATATGCTTGTTAAATGAAAGTTATTCTGCTTACAAAAATATATATTTTTATTGAAAAAATATGATTGTTGAATTTATTTGAAATCAATTCTCTTAGAGAAATATTTTAGGCACTTTAAAACTCTGGAAGGGAAGTCCTCTTATAGTCTTGAAGAAAATACTCTAACTATGTAGAGCTACATGTTCTCCAAGGCAGTGGCAGAACCTAAATCTCCGAATTCGGGCAAACGCCCTCCCACCAAAGCAACAGGCACAGTCTTGTTGTCATAATATTTCCTATAAACACAAATATTTAATTTTCCTATGCAAAATTCAAATAACAGAATATGAAAATCTTACTCCAGGATTATTTATTCTCTGAGGATTACAACATTCTTAGGAGAATCAGGTCATAAATGCAAGTAATGTCAAGCAGACAATATATACAAAGTTGGACCACATGTTTTCTAACCAGAGTGACTGGATAAAAAAAACAAAACAAAGGCATGCTTCTCTATCAAGTCTCATTTGTTTTCCATCAATCTAGTCAAGTCTAGTAGCCATATGCTAAGAAAAAACACATGAAGTCTCAGTGGAATTTAGTCACAAACCACACTACTCAACAGTGTCACGACTAAAGTAGCCATGGACATGTATAGAAACACATAATTAAGCTTCTGAGGACCTTCACAGGGTCATTTTTAGGCTTGCAGGCTTTTGAGTCACAAGCAAAAAGGAGATGTTTTGAAGATCTAACTTCTGTATTAAACAATTCAAATGGCAGTTCAGGGCATAGGCCCTTTTACAAATCCAGTGCTAGACACCAATTCTACTTTGACACATAAACAATTCCAGAAGGAACATGCACAGACACCACCATGAAGAACAAGAATAATGACACTTAGAACCAAGAATCCTAGGTTTTACTACAAAACTTTGCTATAAGTCCAATATGTGAACTACACAGTTCATCTCACAGGCTGGAGTGAGTCAAATACTTAAGCAGACAGCAAACTTGATGTAGACCATTCTTTTGAAGTTGTACATACATAAATTCAGTAGGATTCAGCATACTAAAGGATTTCCCTGTGTTAATAGTGTTTGATCCAAAACTCACTCTGCTCAGCTGAAAAATTCCAGACCCCATCAATGGACTTCAGACAACTCCATTAAAGAACCTGCCCACAAGCAACAGCAGCCAATTCAAATACCTTGACCATTTCTCTGTTACTTTTCTTTTAATCTCAGCATCTTGTAATTATATATGTACGCACATTTCTAAAGTTTAGGAAGGAAGGAACACCATTTATTTTTATTTAATTAAAGATATTTCTTACCTCCACTTCCCTGGCGACTTGTATGGGACAGTAAGCTCAAACGCTTTTCTAATTGCAAAGCTTCATGAGCCAATCTTTCTTCCGAATAGGCTGGACTTGTACTTGGATCTTTAAAAAGGAATAGAAAATAAATTTTAAAAGCAGAATAAATATGGAAAATATATAAAAAATACAGGGGGGGTGGGGAGGGGCGGGGAAGAATATGGTCTTATGTTAGATACTCTGTTCTTATGTTTGCTCTTCTACTGCAGGAGAGGAAACAAGCTAATTGGAAAATGTATGGGACAATCTGCCTTCAAGCACATCCTGGAGAAATGCTACATAATAAGTTATAATTTTAAGTGTCAAAAACTTTTAGAGATTATACCCAATATCTGTAAGAGTTACCACCAGGGACAGACCCCTGAAAAGCACAGCACCAGAGGCAATACCTATAGAGAAAATTAGCATCCATCAGGTCTGGAGGAATTGAAAAATATGTGATCTGTAAAATGTGTCCCAACTTCACTGAACTCATGGGGAACTTTATCAGCAAAAAAGATCAAAATTTTCATCCTACAAATTCACAAATCTATACCATAGAGTCACAGTCATTAAACTATCTGATACCTTTCAATCCAGATCACCTATTTACAAAGACATCTCTTTCATGGTTTATGTTCAGAAGGTCATTAGGGTCAGAAGTCAGAGATTAAACAAGCAGCCTGGTGGCTCTACATGTTTAATAGAAGTTAGAATGGTAAAACAACTACTAACATGTATACTGTAGGGGATTTTCCCCATACATTTTAATGATTTTGCCATTCCAGCTGAAATTACTTGGAAGAATGCTCTTTCCATTCCAATAGCAACAGAAAGACCAAAAGAATATATTATACAGAATGTGGAAGAACTTTCATTAGAAAAATAGGACAGTTTACTCTAAGCCATTTAGTTTCCAACCAGGCACAACAATAAAACCAGATGTCAGAAGTAATCATAATCATTATTCCAAGAGAAATCTGACAGATGTCTTCAAACAGCACTGACCAGCAGTTACAAAAGGTATGGTCTGCTAACATGTTCATCATCAAAAGTTTCAGTAGCTCCTTCTAATTATATAGGGAAAGGAATTAATGACAGATAAAACAGATTAGCTTCCTCACAACTGCTGCTCTTGTATATCCAATCAACTGGGTAGTAGTAGCACACCACAAAAACATAATCATTGAACCATTTAATAAGAGGGGAAAAAAGGATGAAATGTGCTACACATTGTTGTGGTTGAGTTAGTAAGATAAAAAACAGTTGAAATGATGAAGGAAAAGTTTCATTTTCATCCCAGGTATTTCAGTTTTAAAAGACTTGTGTTCAGTCTTGTCAGCACAATAGTCAAAGCAAGCTTACAATCAGAGGAAGGAGCATTTCTGGGTGAGCTGAAGAAACAAGAAACTACCTGAGAAACAAGCTGCCACATCTCTCCTCCCTAATTGCATTTACTTTCTGACCTTCCCTGGATAGATCTGAGTGCATCTCGGGAGCAGAAGTGACAATGCTGAACTTTCTCTCCCAAGTAGAGGGTGTTTCCATCTTTAGCAGCCTGCAGTCTGGATGAGATTAGCAGAACAAGCCAGACACACACACAGTCCTTGTGTAACAGACTATGTAGGAAATCAAAGATGTTCTAACAGGAACAAGGCAACAGTGTCTGTGATCTCTGTGTCTCCCAGCTCAAACAGTGCTTGATGTCAGTGTCTGACACCTTCCAAACTTATCTTTAAGAACAGAAAAAAGGATTTGATATGGATGATTTTGTTAGGTCTCCATCCCTATTCCCCCTGCAATACAACTCATATTAAGCATTGACTAGTTCAAACCTGTGTAACTGCTTACTCAAACGAAACCCTCAATGCTTCCATATGGACCTCTGCCAAAGGAAACTACAAGATTTGGCCACCAGCACCTACAGTGCAACCCAGACAGGTCTATGCAAGGATCTACTCAGTGGCATACAGTGTTACAGGCTGCTGCTTGAATCTATTTTTGAATGTCCTCTGCTCCAGTTACTCTGCCGTATCCAATTAAATGCCCTTATGTCCAAAAAGGTTCAACAAAGATGTTCTACGAGCACTTTGAGTATAAAGTTGGCATAACAGATCAGCAAATTAGTCAAACCAAGATACCAAGATACAATAGACACTAACCCTTCCCACAGCAAAGAACTGTCAGTAGGAAAGATCTTTCCACTTTCCTCAGAACATGATTACTTGATAAATATATTTTCAGGATGTTACTAGGGCACATAAACAACTATTAGTTTTTTAGCAACCGATATCCCTCTTACAGACAGCAAAAGGTATAATTTAAAAAAACCACTGGATAAGCAATTGATCTTGCAATAATTGCCTATAACAAAATACAATATGGGGAGGTAGGAGAGAAGTTGAAGCAAATCAGTAAGTTTGCCTTTCATGTGTTCAATTACTTGTAGAAGCCAAAATCCCTATCAGCTACACAGCTACAGAACACAACAGGTTTCACCCAACAACATGGAATCTCTAGGCATACTGGCTGTCCAACAAGACTGATATTTTTTGAGTATACTTCCTCTTAAGGATTGCCTGTTTATAAAAGGTGTGTATAAAATTGGGTTCATAGTTATGTGATGTGACCTCTCATTGCCCAGTTTTGTGGAAGACTGATTAGAAGAATCCTCTCTCAGCAAGTACTAGGAAATATCTAGAGAAACAACTTTAAAACCTGCCAAACATATATAGACTTAAATTTTTAGGCAGATATTAAAAATAATTGTCCACCAGTCTTACTGAAGTCTTTGTTTTGCATTTAATTCTTCTCTGCTAATAAGCAAGACTTCTAAGGAAAATACATACAATACTATTCTCCAGAAGCAGCAGATTGTCACAGCATTATTTTTGGTTACAGACTACCAAGCCCTAATCAGGAGGTCTTGCTACAAGATCAGACTAAGGACTGAAGTCACTGGCAGCCACCTTTTACAGACCAGTCCTTACTGGATGGCATAACATATGACCCCTGTCTATGAGTGTAGAAATAGGGACTAGAAAATGGTAAAAACAGGGGTGTTTTCAACAGTAAAGTTGAATTTGTTGGCATCATCCTATACCTTGACCATGCACAATACAAAGCCTCTAAATAACTGCATACTAATTTATCATATTACTAACTCAGGAGGCCAGAAGCAGCATGACCGGCACTGAGACAGCTGTCCAAGGAAGTTCAGACAGCTTTTGCCCACACAACATCCTACAGTAGCTCCTACTCTAAGAGCAATTAGTACCTTCATTTCCCAAACTCTAAACAAATGTATCCTATAACAATCTAGGCGGTTAGATTCACTCAGGTTCTTCAATTAAGGAAGTGTTTTATCATTAAAAAACAAACAAACAAACAAAAAAAACCCCAACAAAACGATCCCTTGCTATGAAGAAAAATCTTTTTTTGTGTGAGGCAATCATGGAAATCTTAAATGCTGCTTTAGGGCAGAGAGGAAGGATTACATCAAGTCTGACTGGACTAAAAATGCCTCTGATGGAGATTTTATATTTATATTATGTTGGTGGATATTCATTAAAGCCACATCAGCTGCTCACTGTGGGAGAGTTTTAATACTTTGGTAACATACAAATAAAGTGTCAAAGTAATTCAAAGCTCCAGGGTCATCCTGTAAGCACCTGTCAGGAAAAAAATGTATTGTATCAAGTTAAGTCAGCAGCTACCTAAGATGTGCTTGATTATATGCATCTTTAAAATGCAACATTGGTTAATTACTTCATTAAACAAAGTTAGATAAGTTAGGCTGAACATCTCTCCTTTCTTTCTTTCTTCCTTTGTAACTGTAGGCACATTTGCAAATCAGGCCTGGACCCTCACCTTCATGCTAACATCTCCACACCTTGTAAGATGTCTGGAGGAATGAAAAGATGTCCTAAAATTTTGAGGAGGATCCACTTGGTACAGATACTGCAGAAGGCAGCCACAGAGCTGTCTTGCAATGGCTAAAGATGTATCAAGCTTCAATAAAAAGAAAGAGCATCAGATAGATCCTCAGCAAGCAGCACTGCACACTGGATCTCCAGTCAGTCACAGAGATAGATCCTCAGCAAGCAGCACTGCACACTCTCCAGTCAGTCACAAAGCAGCCTGAAAAAGCTTCCAAAATTAAGAGAGCATCAAAACTATCAACATTACACTTGGGGTCTTTCCAGCCTGCAGGACTAGGCTGTCCCATAGCCTTAGCCAGATTGAGAGAGTACTGATCTGCCCACTGATCAAAGATACTGCTGATCAGCTGTTGGGCCTTTGCTGTGTTCATGTTTGGCATTCAAGAGGCATTCACTAGAATTTTGCTAGTGAAAAGAAGGAATTCAATGCACACCTGATAAACAAACATTTCTCAAATAATATGCATGCAAATTCAGTATAGATTACAAACCATGCAATCAGTGATTCATTACTCTGTCAATACCAAGATTTCTGTCAAGACAAGAATATAAAATTCTGTGGTCTGTTTTCTAAATATCTTCTCAAGAAAAAAAGTTGCAAGTAGCCAATTCCAGAGATTAACTTCCAACTAGTATCTGAGGAAAACAAGCCATCCAAAGACATCCTGTCACTCATTTGAGTCCTTTATTTAAAATGCTACAGTGCCCCAAAACATCTACAGATACCTATACTACCTCTGCATTTCCGCTCAATGCCATATATCTTAAATTTGAGACCTGATCATACAGCCTTTAACAAATCAAAACCTCTAATCTGCTAATGGAGCTACCAATAGGAGTATTTTGCTATAATTCTGCAAAAGTAATGGACTCCCCAAAAAAGTACCACACAGTAGTAAACTGTAAAACATCTTCTTTTACTTTTCCACTTTATTTTCTTTTGAATGCACACATAATAGAATTATTTCTATCATGAGAATATTCACATTCATTTGATATCCATTTCCAAAAAGTCACTAAATTATTAAGATTGGAAGGAATTTCAGGAGTTCTCTAGTCTAATCACTGCTCAAAACAGGTCAGCTATGAGAGATTAGAACAGATTTTGATACCTTGCATTGTCAGTCAAGTTTACGAGTGCCACTGCACAATTTTTTCACTACATCTTTTATAGATGATATAATAAAATACATACAGTAATCATATATTTATGTTATAAGAACACCAAGTTTTTAAGGAAGTAAGGTACATTTTTTAAAACTGCAATTCTAAAAGGATATAAATATTGTACTTGAGCAAATATGCCTTGCATATGCAGTTTACAAACTCCTTTTGGATACTGGGCAGTTTACATTTGTTTAGAGAATCCCTATGAAAAGTAAAAGAAAAAACTGGTAATTTTCAAGTCCTCTTCAAACCATTATCTATCATTTCCTATTAGTATCATGCTAATACTTAAAATATCTCAGCACTCTATTTAACCATATGGTTGAGCTGCTTGTACATGAAGCCACTGGCTTCATTCATTATCCTTTTTCCAAAGACAGACTAAGCAGGTGTTGACTACATAACGCCTCTAGATTATACTTGTTCCATGGGCTTTGGTGTCCAAGAACACTGTCAATGTGACTTTTTTTTCCACTATATTACATTCTTTTCTCTGTACAGCTGTCCTTTCTGTGTTTTCTTCTCTTGAAAATACCTAAGAGTTATTCAAGCATATTTCATGTTTAAGTTGGAAAGGTATAGGCAACAGCAAGAAGTCAAATTAAAATAGCTTCTTTGTCTAGTCTTTCTGCTGCTTCCTATTAAAAGCTTTTAAATTACACAAAAGAAGAGCATTGCATATATAAAGCAC